CGACCCTCACTACTGAACCGCTTGGCATCGGTTGCGCTCCGGAACTCATCCGTTAGTGATAAGGGATTGGAAGTGTTTTTGGCCTCACTTTCGCATAATCTACTTAAACTTGAATTATCAGGTTCATAATGTTTACGTTATATTTATCATAATTATTTAATGCTGCAATAGTTTTAATTTAAAATTATAAAATAAAGTTCATTATTCATTTGAGTCCACTATTTTTTAGTAATAAAATTAACAATATAGATTTTCAGACAGGTTATTATTTATGTACAGTCAATTAAACAAGTATCAACGTAAAATAGATTTTATTAACTAAACAATTCTATATAATAAATACACGCCAACACTGGTGTTTTAAAGCATATTTTATATACATTATAACATTTAATTTTATGATTAAAATTTTGTACTAGGTTGTAACGAGATAACAGACACAGTAATGTGGGCGGGTTTGGTGCCAAACCTGGAGATACTAATCATCATGGATTGCATTAACATATCCGACGAGACAATAGCCGCGATTTGTCAAATGTTGCCCAGTTTGAAAAAATTACAAATTCAGGTAAATTATATTAGCTTATTATATTGCTGATTGACTATAAATAATTGTTAACAATTATGTATTACAGGCCTATCACGTGACGGACACATCTATGGCATATTTTGGTAGTACATTAGCCAGGGAGAATTTACGCGTATTAATGCTACACCATTGCTGGGAGTTGTCTAACCAGGGTGTTGCCAATCTGGCACATGGTTTGCCTAATTTACATACACTCTCACTGTCCGGCTGTTCAAAAGTAAATAATCTTAATAAACATTAAATTATTTTATTATACAAATATAATATTGTCAAACTGTAACAATACGATATAGGGTATATAATAAATATTTAAAATAATTACAATTGTTTATATTGGGACCCCCCTACGACATCCATGTTATATTTTTACTATTTATCCAAAATATAAATTAAGGAACAATAATCTATACTAATTAGTAAACAACCATTACAATAATATAGATAATTATTTTCTTACTAATATAATATTAAATACAAATGTAAAGTTAAAATTAAAATTACTTTTAAACTAATTTTTCAAATCAATTCTAAGGTATCGGACGATGCGATTGAAGTGATCGCAGAGCAGATCCGAGGGCTCCGGTATTTGGACCTCTCGTGGTGTCCACGTGTTAGCGATGCGGCCCTCGAATACATTGCCTGCGATTTGTCCGACACTTTGACACACCTTATACTCGATCGGTATGTA